GCTTGCGCACAAAGCAGCCAGTGCCCGAATGTCCAATGCGTGGGCAGGCCCTTCCCTATATCGAAGGGGCCTGCTGCTGCGTGTTGTGCTGCGGTCCTGGGCCCCGTCCCAGAAGCTCCCGGTAGGCCCAGGGAGGCTGAGCCTCAGACCGAAGGAAACAGGCCCAGGGCCTGAGGCGGTTTCCAGCACCCAACTGCCCTCAGCCTTTGTTCGGTCCTTTTTGTGTATCCGGCCCAGGACTTGCCTCAGTTACATGCAATGAAAGGCACCCTGGGCCTGGGTGCTTCCAACCGACTGGCGCTGTGCAACTGCCTGAATTTCCCCAGTTGCGTAGTAGTCCAAAACAGGCCTCTTGGGGTCTGTCAAGCCTGCCTTCACTTAGGGCGGCCGGGCCCAGTAGGGCTTATCGAGGCCTTGTGCTTCGCATTCCCTCCTCCATACTTCGCTAGTCCTCTGAGAAGTTCAGTCTTCGATAATCTGGCGCTTTCCTTTCTGCAGAGACTTCTCATAGTGAGCGACTACCTGTGGATCTATCCTCCTTTGGATCAGTGTGATGTCTGAACCGAACTCGATACTGCAGCTTCGGTTTTGGAGGACGTCCTCTGCCTGTTGGTCTTGGAACTGGCATCAACCTGTGATCAACAATGTCGTCGATGTCGATTTCTCCATCCATGGTTGGGGGCAGCATTGAGCGACGAGAGGGAAACTGATCTGTTTCTTTAAAAGGTGCAAGCTTTGAGGCGTGGAAAACAGGGTAAGTGCGTAAGTGACCAGGGATACGAATAACATAAGATGGTCCATCTGGTTCATTCCCCACAACAGCTAGAATCTCCCATGGTCCAAAGTATTGTGGCATGAGCTTACGGGAAATCCCGTACTCCTGTCCCAGTTCTGAGGACTTAACCCAGACTCTTTCTCCTACCTGGAATGTAGATGGGCGGCCATGTTTGTTCTCAGACTCTATCATCGCCGCCTGTGCTTTGTGCATCTGTTCGACTGCCTGCTGCATCAGTTGCTCATATCGATAAGGTCCCTGGTGCAGCAGCTGACTGATTCTCAGGTAGTAGGAAATTCAAGGGCAGTCTTGGCTTGAAAGTCAGTACCAGGCTGTTCGGGCTTACTCCCGTAGCGCTGTGCACAGCGTTGTTGTACAGGCTGGCGATGAGAGCGAGTTTCTCATCCCAGTCTACCTGATTCGGCTTGATGTAATGCCTCAGCAGGTGTTGTACAGTGCGGTTCAATTGCTCTGCCTGCCCATTCGCTTCTGGGTGATTGCCTGATGTCATTTGCAACTGCGTGCCCTGTTCTGCAGCTCCAACTTTCCACAGTTCACTAGTGAATCGCACATCCCGGTCACTAATGATAGACTTAGGCAGTCCGAAATCTCTGACCCAGTTTTCTTTGAACAGCTTAATGACGTACTCAGTCTTTGCTATTTCCGGCATTGCAACTAATCTAGCGTACTTACTAAACCTATCCACAATGACAAAGATGTGTCCCATTCCACTCTTGCTGGTGATCAATGCATCCATGAAGTCCATGGATAAGCTCTCACCAGGCCTTTCCGGAATCGGAAGGGGCTTGAGGAGACCAAGAGGGGCCTGTGTACGGGGCTTGTCTCTCTGACAGACCTAACAAGTCTCCACGTACAGCTTGGCATCTCTCATCATCGTGGGCCACCAGAACCACTGCAGCAGATTGGCTGCAGTCTTCTTGAAACCAAAATGTCCCGTGGCATCATGACACTCGCCTAAAAATAAACTACCCAAAGACTCCCTATCTGGCACACACAGACGTTTATTCCCTGCCTTCTCAAGGAACAGCAGTCCGTTGACCAACTCAAACTTGGCAGAAGTAGCTTTGTCCTTCGCCTCGAGTCTGCGTATGATCTCAGACATAAACCAGTCCTCGCAATAGGCTCCCTCCATAGAGTGAGTAACATTGTCCGCAAGCCCAAACTCAGTGATCAGCGCACCAGAGAAATCTGGTCTACGCGACAGCGCATCAGCAACCTTGTTGTACTCGCCCTTGATGTACTGGGGCTCAAAGTCATACTGCTCTATGACTTCAATCCAACGCTTCAGAGCGTCGGAGAGCACAGGCTGGGTTCTGATCCACTTCAGGGTCTGGTGATCGGTCCTGACGTAGAAGAACCTCCCAAGGAGATAGTGTCTCCAATGGGTGAGCGCTTTGTAGATCGCATAGAGTTCCTTCTCATAGGTGGACTTAGCCAACTTCTGAGAGGGCATTTTTTTGGACATGTACTCTATCGGCCTTAACTTTTTCCCCTCCTGCTGCGCAAGTACGATGCCTATGCCATATTGGCTAGCATCCGTAGTTACTACGAAAGGTTTGTCAGGATCAGGAAGTTTCACGACCTCATGGTGTGTCGACGCATGCTTCAGTTGTCTGAAAGCAGCCTCACACCTGTCTGTCCACTCCCATGAGGTGTCAAGGCGAGTCAGGTCCGTCAAAGGGGCGACCACTATGCTGTAATTCTAAACAAAATTGCGATAGTCTATCATCCCTAAGAAGAACCTCATCTCAGTCACAGACTGAGGACACAGCCAGTCACGAATGCTGGCCACCTTCACATCATCGGGCTTCAATCCCTCCGCGGAAATCTCATGACCCAAGTACAAAACACGGGTGCGGCCAAACTCGCACTTCTCACCGTTGATCTTGAACTTGTGCTTTCGAAGAAGACTAAGGACTTTGTCCAAGCGCGCAACGTGCTCCTCGACAGTCTTACTAAAATAAGTATGTTGTTAAGGTACACGATGACAAACTTATCCAAGTAGTCATGAAATATCCGGTTCATAGCGTGCTGAAAGGTGCCAGGAGCATTGCAAAGGCCGAAAGCCATCACCACAAACTCATACAGACTGTACCTGGTCTGAAATGCAGATTTGTGTTGATCCTCGGGCCGGATTGCAATCTGATGGTACCCGGACTTGAGATCTATCTTACTGAAGTACCGACACCCTTGCACTCTATCTAGCAAATCATCGATGCACGATAGGGGCTCTTTGTTCTTGACAGTGATGGCATTGAGGCCCCTATAGTCAATGCACATCCTAAGTGTTCCTTCCTTCTTCCGTACGAATAGGACTGGTGATCCATAAGGAGAAACACTCGGCCGGATCCAACCCTTCTCTACGAGTTCCTTGAGTTGCCGGCGAAGCTCATCAAGCTCGCCTGGAGACATCCAATAGATCCTACCCTTTGGGATACTAGACCCTGGGATAATCTCTATCGCATGGACGACCTCCCTCTCAACAACCCCTGTAGGCTCTTCAAATAGATCAAGGTACTTGGCAACTACTCCCTCTATCTCCGGCGGCATTATCACCGGCTCGCCTGCTGCAGAGACATAGATTAGATACATACCCTCCTCTAAATTTTGCTTATAATAGTTATAGAACGCGGCCGCAGACATGCATCCGTGGGACTCAATCAGACTACTAGCTTTGAATTTACGTAGTCCCTCCACCTGGCAAAGTGTGTTTGACCACTTTTCGGTCCCAGTCAAACAAGGGTTGTGCCACGGAGAGGTCGTACATACCTAACAAGATATCCATAGGGAGATCATCGCTCACTAGGAATGAGACACGATGGCTCAATTCCCCTCCCGCGTACGGGAAACAACACTCAACATCCTCGAGGTAGTGGTTGACTACCATGTGCTGTTTGGTGGCACAGGTCGACTCCACATGCCAACTCAGGCGCTGCACTCGCCTCTGTAAGCGCAGCCTCTCAACGCACGTGCGACTAATGAAGTTCCTAGTTAAGCAAGTGTCATAATAGGCCGCGGCCTTGCGGCTGCCGATGGCTACCTCACTGACGAACATCTCTCCCTTAGGGGCTTTGGCCAATGTCGTCCAAGAAGCTAGTGGGTCTGATCTAGACCACTCCTCCTCTAGCTCCTCTAAGGATTCAAACACATTCATCGAACAGAGGCTCGATGGGTCAGAATGTGTTTGCGGGACGACTATGGAGTAAGTAGCTTGGGCCATCTCTCGAGATGGTGAGGGTGTGTCCACCACCTCGACCCTAGCAGGAACAATTACCATTCCTACTGGCCCGACGCGTTTCCCGGTTAGAACTGCTGGCCACATTGCTACCAACGGGAGCGGAGGATCCCAACGCCTGCCCCATAGTAGGCGGGATCTTTTCAGTCACCTTCTTATTTCAGCACTTGGCCATATTGGCCACAACGGATACAAGCCTGCCGCGTGTACCGATCTCTCCACACGTCCTCTGTGAGACCCGCTTTCTCCCATGGAGGAGCATTGGGGTCTACTTGACTCCTAGACCAGGAACCTCCACGGCGTCTACCGGTCGCCTTTCCTTTTTGAGCTACGACAGTGACTACTCCACCCCCTGAAGCCTCTACGCTGCCAGCCTCTGAACCTACTCCCTCTTGGAAGTTGTCATCTAACTCGATGGTTGAACCATCGTTACCAACAAACATAATGCAACCCTTCGCCTTCCTGTTGGGAGGCCGTGACTTTCTCCTACCATCCGTAGTGGGTGTCTGCCCATGCCCTATGTTTGCCTCAAGGTCTAGGGCCTTCTTGCTAAACGAGGGAAAGTTGTGCATATTGATGTTGGCCTCACCTGCCAACTGATTCCTAAGAGGCATGGGAAAGCATCTCAGATAGGAAGTGAGTAAGACCCGGGGGTCATAGCGCACCCCAGGGACACAAATCAGACGCTCTAGAGCGTCAGTGGCTTCCCTTACTGACTTAAACTGCCTTGTGTGCAGTGTCAGGATCGCATCAGTGGCCTTTTGGACCTCCTGAGGATCATGCCACCTGTCTTCCAACGACTTAACCATCGTGCTCCACTCCCCTCTAAATAGGAGGCAGCCACAAACACTTCCTCGTACGGCAAGGTAAGTTTTTACTTGACGTAGACCGGCACTGCCCTCAACCGAGTGTCGAGGTCTTCGCCTCGCTTATCCCCTGTGAAGGGTTTAGGAGCGGCGATGGCCGTCTTTGGTACCCATTGACTTTGTCCCTGTACCTGCACCATTCCGGACTGTGGACCCTGTGGTGCAGGCTGCTGCACTATCTGCTGGGGCTGTGAACCCTGCAGTTGTGCGGGCTGCGAGACAGCAGGCTGCCCGCTTACGGCAACCTAAGACGGAGGTTGGGAGAACACTGTCTGTACAGGAACCTGCAAACTAGGACCTGTTGATAACCCGCCTGTTAAAGGCATACCCAAGGAGACAGGCTGTACCGATGCTGGAGCGATATATGGGGATACCCCAGTCACCAGTAGGACAAAAGGAGGAGGATGTACAACGGGCCAGACACCAGGCCCGGACAGTGATGGTGCCGCCTGCACTCGTCCGACCAAGACGGCCAGACTCTGTTGGATGTCCTGTAAGATCGCCGTCTGCTGGTCGTGCATCTCTACTACACCTAACAAGACCGACCTCAGGGTCCTCACCTGATCATTCAACTCCTATGGGTCCATCTCCTCTAACTCGCTAATGTCCGCTTGTCGCTGTTGCAATCTGGCTCTTCTCCTAATCATTCCTTCTTTTTCTGCCTTAATCTCTCCTAAAGCCTTCTGTAGTTGTGCCTCGCGATCAACAGCTCGCTGTATGGCGACCTCCTTGGGAGTCAACACTATTGGCTGGTTGCCATTACGCCAATGGACTGACTCATGGTCTGCGTGACCGTTGACCCTACAGTCCCTGAACTGCTAGCCTGGGAACTCTGCTGCGCAAAGTGTTGCCATGGCTGCTGAAGCTGCGGCTTCGCTTGCGAACGCCCCGCTGGCCCCTGCTGCCCTAGCTCTCCTCTGCTGCTGCTGCCTCTCCCTAAGTTGGCAGAACAAAAACCTGTCACCCTCTGGTTCTAGGGCCAAGTGGGCTACCGGGCGTCTAGCCGATCGCAAGAGCCTGTCGTTCGGTTGTGGGACCTCCTTGTCGCTCATAAGCTACAGACTGCCCACCGTCTGCACTAGAACACTCATCCGATGCCTACCGCAGCGTCATGCACAGACCGATTAATTAATCAGTGACTATGTCATGGTAAATACATTTGGGTTCAACAGGTAAGTTCAGATTCCTACAAACGAAACTACTTTGACTTTGACTAGTTCGCAAGCAGAAGCACAATGAACAAAGAACAGTTCTAAACTATGCTGTCTGTCAGATGTCAATGGTTGTACATCTAACTAATCAAAATAAAAATAGAATCGTTGGTTGGGTCTGTTTGCAGAATGGAATCTTGCCCAAACTTATCACCTGGAATCTACCCCTCCCTCAATTCTTCTTGAATGTCTCTTGCCGTCAACGACCCTGAGCAATCCAGATAGCGTGTGTGTCTGAAGGTGTGCACACGACCCACCCCTGTGCCCCGAGTCCTGCTGAGCTGGCCAGCCCTACACCGTATTTATCCTCTCGTGCAGCGAGCCTTACACCGACCGATTGGCTGATCAGGAGGCGTTTGTATGGACGGCCCCCAAAGTCCTCAGGAATTCCTTAACGTCGCAAACAGGACGACGATCACAGCCAATGGAAGGTATCCCACCGATGCTTATTTATAGACGTTGTCCCCTAGGGCTGGCCTGCCCTTCAAAACCCCTCTACACCTCAGCGACCAGACAAAGGACAAAGCAGCAAAGCATGCGTGCTCTACTCCCGGTGCGTTGGCATGGTGACCGTGACCCAGTGCTTCGTCCAGGGCCCTTCAGATAGCTCCGCCCTCTCCTTCCAGATGCTCCACGTGAAGGCTGGCCACTCTCAAGGTTGAGCGCACACGACTCCTCACATGAGAGGACACTCAAGACAGAACACGTCCTCACGGTAAGAAGTATAGAAGAGGGTAGATAAGGTTAGGTGCAACGTACCTCAAAATAGATGCCCCCAACCACAGATATTCTCACCACATTACCCGATGTTGATTGTGATGACCAATCGCTGCTTCGACACAACCAGCAATGCACAACCATTCCACCTCAGCATCAATCACACACCAGATAGTTCTCATCACACTGCGAACACCCAATAATCACCACACAGCCTTCCTGGCGATACCCCTCACCTCCTGGGTCGCCACTTATCTTCGCCTTCCTCACTACACACGTCCCACGGCACGGTCGCTCACCGTACACACCTCGTGCATGTACCGCATTAGGCAGAAGATAAGCGCCAGATTAGCGCACAGAACCACAGCTCTGATACCAAATTGCAAGGAAGATGAGCAATAGCGAACTTCAGCAATCAAACAGCATCATACACATGAGACCAGATAGTCGTGACCTCGA